TTGTAGCATGAAATATTTTATAAGAAAAGATAAGAATTGGTATACGTACAAAGACAAAATATAGATATAGTGTACTAAAAAAAAGTACTTTTTTTTTCAACCTGTATCGTAAATTCTAAAAAACAATTAAGTGGATACATAAGAATTAGTAACAATAACAAAAGAAAAAAATATGTGTTATTTTAAAGGATATAAAACTGTATCATTTTAAATAAAAAAAGAGATAAATTATAAAAGAGAGATACTAAAAAAAAAAATATATGTATCCCACTTATTTATAAAAGTAAAGTAATAAATTCTTTTTTTCGATCTGGTTCCTCCCGCCGCCAACCCCAGTTAGATTCTTACAAACACTTTTCCAATAATAAAATGCCACAAATAATAATCTAAAGAAAGTTAAATAAAATAATTTGTTACAAGTGTTTAAGCAAACATATCTGCAGAGCTGCTGAAACCAAACCAAACATGGCGACTTTCCTCAAACTCAGGACTCGCATGCCCTTTTCCTCCACACTCAGAATTCGAAGTTTTCTCTTTGAGACACGCTCCTACTCTTGTATGTTCCTTTGTTTATTTATTTTTCTCAAATAACTCGCTACTTGAATCAATCATCAATGCTAAAAATTTATCCTTTTTAATTTTTGTGTTATGGTTTGACTGTGAGTTCTTTGTGCCATGTATTTGACCTTGTAGATGTTGCGGAGGAGGAGAGGGTTCACGCCTCCAAGACTACAAAACAAGGGTTTATCCACCCCAGTGCCATTGTTCATCCCAATGCCCTCATCGGTGAGGTACTTCTTCATTACTCTTTCTCTGTTTTTCAAACCAAGGTGGCAATTACTCTTTCTCTGTTTTTTAGGCCAAGGTGGCAATATCTTCTTGTTCTTCTGCTTATTGAACCAAAGTTTGCTTGTTGAACTAAAATTACGAGAGAAATAGATAAATCATGAAAGAAAATAGGAATACAAAATTTTAAAGACGTGGATGTTACTTCTTTATTATAGTGAAATAATACAAGGTCTTTTCTCGAATTGTTATTGGGTTGTTGAAGTGGTAGTCTTTTGGAATTGGGTTTCTCAATCAGTTTTTATTATGTTATTGACTGTGTCACTGGTTGTTCCATTGAACATTATTTTTGTGGTGTTGGTCCTATGCCCAAGTTTAATGGTTCATCAATTTAGCCGGGCCAAAAAAATTGACATATTAAATTATCAAAATATTTTTATAATTATACAAATCTATTAGAAAAAAAATTTACTTAAAAACTTTAAAGTAATAGGATCGATGTTATTTTAACAAATAATAAATATTTATTCAAAATTTAAAATATAATATAAAAATAAATTAATAAAGAAAGTGCAAATTATATGTACATATACATATATGAAATTTTCATGTGATTTTTATGAACATTTTCATATGATTTTTATGAAATTTATTTCATGTGATGTTAATGAAAATTTATTTCATGTGATCTTTGTGAATATTTTTTTTTATCTTTTATATTTTAATTTGGTTTGGGCCTATTAGCTTTAGTTTGCAACTTGGTAGGTCTTACAATTCGTATTAGGGTTTTTGTAATAGGTCAGGGCAGATCTATAAACTATGTTGCACCGATATCGACATGGGACATGAGATACGACACGACACGACACTCCGACACGTTAATTCTAAAAGATGTTAAATTTCGACACGTTAGGACACATTTTGATATTATATAATATTTTTAATTTATGTAGTTTATATTATATTTAGTATTCAAAAATTTAACAAAAAAATAAAGTTAAACTTATAATACCCATCAATTTTGCAAAAAAAATAAGATATCCCAAATGTTTATATTATACTTAATAAAATCGTAATCGTAGTCTAACGAATCTAATAGTTATAACTCAAAATGCAACGCAACGTAACCTTTGAACCTTTTTTTAAGTCTTTTCAACGAGTATTGAATCTTTTTTGAGTCTTTGCAACGAGTATTGAATCTTTTTTGAGTCTTTGCAACGAGTATTGGAGTGTTGGGAAGTGTCAGGATTTTTGAAGTGTCGGTGCTTCATAGCCTATAAATCAAGTCTTTAATAGGCTAATAGGCCAATATAGACTCTAAATATTTTACATAGGCTTAGGCTGTTAAAGCCAAAGCCTGACCTAACTTGGCCTATTTATATCCCTAATCGTGACTTGTGAAGAACATCAACGTAGAGGGACAACAAACTTCACAATTAAAAAGAAACATGGAACAATCAGCGACAAATGTCTAAAATCATTTAAATGACATTTGATCCACATAAATTATTTAATCAGTGTTTAAATATTTTAAAAATACAAAAAAAAAAACAAAGAAATTGTTAATAAATATGTACAAGAAATTTTCATACTCCATATATATATATATATATATACACATATCTTCATTGATTTTTCTCTTTAACAATTTTCACTGATTAATCGTCAAAATTTTCATTCCTATTGTAAAATCAAATACAAATAACACCAAGAAACAATTCAATTCCATTACCAATAGCAACTGTAGTTCTACATTAAAATAATTATTTTTTAAAAAAGGTAAATATAAAACAGCACTCTATTTTTCAAAAGAAATAAAATCAATAAATACAACAACACAAAAAAAAGTTGTAAATAAAAAAAGGGCATGAATTTCACTCATGTTAAAAACACTCAATAAACAAGGGTGGGTTAAGTTGAATTGTGATGGAGCTTCTTCTAGTGGCATGAAAAAAGCTAGTTGTGGTGGTATATTAAGAGATCACAATGGATCCTTTTTGGGAAGCTTCTATTGTAATTTAGGTTCCTGCAATCCTCTTGATGCAGAATTATGGGGATTACTGAAAGGTTTGGAACTGCTTTGGGGTACAGGATTAAAAAGAATAGAGCTAGAATGTGATTCTAGCCAAGCCATCCAGATGTTATTGGAGCAGCATGAAGATCCTAGGGACTCTCAAGTCACTAGCAGATTGAGATTATGGTTAAAAGCAGATTGGACTATTCATCTTGTTCATACCAAGAGAGAAAACAACAAATGTGCTCATTGGTTAGCTAAAGCAGGACACTAATAATCTTCATTTCAAGATTTTTAAAGATCCTCCTCCTCAGTTGATGGAACTTATAGTTGCTGATGCTAGAAATATGTCTAGCTTGTTAGTTTCTGATTTGTAATTTCTTTCTGTTTCTGGGGCTTAGCCCCTCTTTATTTACAAAAAAAAAAAAACACTCAATAAACAATTATGGTCAGCAAAGATATAGAATTTTTCTTTTACAAGGTTAAAAAATATAAATCAATTTTTTCTCCGAGTGGACAATATAATTTACCAATGCATATTCCAAGAACATGTATTCCTAAAATCTTGAGAAAGGAACAAAACATCGTACTTTGTCGCAGAATGGCTGGGTTTCGGGTGGTGAGTGCGAATAAGAAAAAAGAGAGAAGAAAACCCTAGTTGGAAAAAGATAAAAGAAGAAGAATAAGAAATTAAGAAGAAAGCAATCTGTTATATGGTCAAACATGCAAAGCAGCTCCAAATTTTTGTCTGTTATGGTTGTTACAATTTTAGCTAGGACCAACTTATAATTTTAACTAGTGTTCAATTATAATTATTTATATAATTATATATAATAAATAAAATTTGTTGAAATACAGTGAGGACGCATGTCCTACCTAAGCCTTAATATGAATAAAATCAACTTCAGACTCTACATATGCCAAGCAAGTTCCATGGTTCAAGCTTTACGGCTAAATCAAAAACCTAAGAGATGTTATTAAATACTATGTTTTGATCATTTATATTTTCTAGATTAAAAAAAAACAGAAAATGTTTTGGGGAATACTGTAATGCACATAAGGAAGATGTTTTTTTAATCTAAATTTCAGTCTCAACTGTAAAGTATTGTATTTTCAAGTTATTAGGGTTTTAGTCCTTACAATTTATACTTATATGATACTATTACTAGTCTATGTAGCACCGATACCGACACGAGACACGATACGACACGACACTCTGATATGTTAATTTTAAAAAATGCTATATTTCAACACGTTAGGACACATTTTGATATTAAATAATATTTTTAATTTATATAGTGTATATTATATTTAATATTCAATAATTTAACAAAAAAATAAAAATAAACTTATAATATTCATCAATTTTACAAAGAAACATAAGATATCACAAATATTTATATCAAACTCAATAAAATGGTAATCGTAATCCAACGAATTTAATGGTTGGAATTAAAAACTCAACGCAACGCAATCTTTGAACTTTTTTTTAATTTTTATAACGCGTGTTAGAATGTCGGAGAGTGTCGGATACGACACGTCAGAATTTTTGAAGTGTCGATGCTTAGTCCTTATTTTTATAAATAATTAATTCTTACAATATTTAATTATTAAAGTATAAGTTCGTGAGATACAGATAAGTAAAACTTTAAGATCAATTAAAAAAAAGAAAGAATCCAAATTAAGCGAAATCTTGTGAACTAATTTTTCAATTGTTTTTTTGGTACAAAACTAATTTTTCATTTCAACAGGGGTGCCTTGTAGCATGAAATATTTTATAAGAAAAGATAAGATTTGGTATATGTACAAAGACAAAATATAGATATAGTGTACTAAAATTTTTTTTTTTTTTTCAACCTGTATCGTAAATTCTAAAAAATAATTTAGTGGATACAAAAGAATTAATAATAATAACAAAAGAAAAAAATATGTGTCTTACCATTCTGAGTGAAAGAAAAAAATAAATCATAAAGGAAAAACACTAGACAAAAAAATAAAGATATATATCTCAACTCTTTATAAAAGTAAAATAATACAAATTATGGGCTATAAAAAAATAATACAAATTATGTAATTTAAAAATTACAAACACTTTTCCAATAATAAAATGCTACAAATAATAATCTAATGAAAGTTAAGTAAAATAATTTGTTAAAGTGTTTAAGCAAACATATCTGCAGACTGCAGCTGCTGAAACCAAACCAAACATGTACAGGTTCCTCAAACTTAGGATTCCCATGCCCTTTTCCTCTGTACTCAGGATCCGAAGTTTGCTCTTTGAGCCACGCTACTACTCTTGTATGTTGCTTTGTTTATTTTTTTTTCAAACAACTCGCTACTTTATCAATCAATGCTAAAAATTTCTCCTTTTTAATTTTTGGGTTATACTGTGAGTTCTTTGTGCCATGTATTTGACCTTGTAGATGTTGCGGAGGAGGAGAGGGTTCACGCTTCCAAGACTACAAAACTTATCCACCCCAGTGCCATTGTTCATCCCAATGCCGTCATCGGCGAGGTACTTCTTCGCGACTCTTCCTCTGTTTTTTTAAACCAAGGTGGCAATATCTTCTTGTTCTTCTCTTTGTTGAACCAAAGTTTGTTCCTTTTGTACTGAATTGTTATTGGGCTGTTGAAATGGTAGTCTTTTGGAATTGGGTAACTCAATCAGTTTCTATGAGATGCCAACTGAGTATAGAGAACAAAGGATTTTTATGTGATGCCAACTGAGAAAGGAGAACCATGTCGTACCCATTATTTGTTCTTGCACTTTTGTTGAATGTAGTTCTGAGTTGGGGCTCTCTGACTGTGTCGCTGGTTGTTCCATTGAACATTATTTTTGTGGTGCTGGTCCTATGCCCAAGTTTAATGGTTCATCAATTTATAGGAAAAGACAAATAACTTCTGTTTTTCAATTTTAGACCTCCGTGTATGTTCTCCACACTTAATGTGTACTGCTAATGTGCATGACACTTTGTTTTCTTATTGTGTTGTGCAATGCTAAGATGCAATTCCTTTGAATATCAATTCAAATTGTCGTCTGGAACTAATGATGTTGTACAATCATCATCATATTCTTTCTAAATGTTTTGTGGTGATGAGTCTTCTGCTTTTGTGCTTAGGGGGTTTCAATTGGTCCTTTTTGTTCTGTTAGTTCCTCCGCAAAGCTGGGGAATGGTTGTCAACTATATCCTGGAAGCCATATTTTTGGAAGTACTGAGTTAGGGGATAATTGCATCTTGATGACGTGAGTTCAGACTTAAGATCACTGTTTTCTCCTAAGTTTCTGCTCTGCTTAATATTCTTTGTTTTGAACCATTATATGATCATTTTTATTTGGGGAATTTTTTCTGGCAGTGGTGCTGTTGTTGGTGATGATTATCCTGGATGTACCAACATTGGAAGCAATAACATAATAGGATATCATGCTGTAATTGGTGTCAAATGTCAAGACTTGAAATACAAGGTATGCTTCACATTAACTGGTTGGGGTTTTTATTTTTTGAATATCATTGTATTGGCATTGCTAAATTCTGTTGTCAACCTACGGAATTGTTCCATAGATTCTGATTAATGAAATAAGAATCATGTTGTCATCATTGGTTATATTATTGATATAGTATTAACATTTTATTTAGTCAGGAAAAACAAATATCGGAGCAAGGGGGAAATGAAGTTGATTGAAAATGCTCAAGAAAAGTCTATAAAAAATGTTTGGCTTTTGACATTTATCCTTGTCAATCCTCTCAAAATCCTCACAATGACTTCAAATTAATTAGTCTACTTAACTAAATTTTAAATATGTATCACAGAAATATTGGTGGCTATGTAAGGTCTTTCCCTTACTTTATTTTTTTTAATTTCCTCCAAATGAAGCCTCAACTACTGCTTGCTTGTAAGCACTTTTACCTGTGTTGATTGGCTTGAATTGTTTTAAAATGCATGTCTGTAGTGCCCTGCAATTTTTTTCTATGTTCTTCTCTACCTTGTGTTGCATTCTAATTGAATAGTAGTTCAACTCATGCTTCATTGATTGGTTTCAATGTTTTTATTGTCAATATTGCCTTTCACAAAGACGCATTCTCGCAAAGCAAATAAAACAAAAACAAATTTCTTCCAACTTAAATGAGCAGTTTTATATAAAGATTAGAGTTGGTTTCTGTTGTGGAAAGAACAATTTTAACAGCTTAAGCTCTTTGAAGAAAGCATAGGACTGGTATTAAATTATATCTCTAACAGGACCCTTCACATGAAAGCTTTTTGGATTTGAAGGATGAATAAATCAGAGTCCTTGGATTACATTGTGCTCTTTGATACCATGTCAAGGAACTAATCATACTAAAAGAGTATCAGGATAAAGAGCATGAATGTTTTTTATTTATATCTGTTAAACATTTTCTTATTCTAGCAGTAGTCCTTATTGTTATATATATATTTTTTTTATCTTCCTGATGTTGTGGTTACTATTTATTGATGGAGTCATTGTCTGTGGGTGCAATTTTGTGAGAGTTTTCTTACCTAGATGGCGTCCATAGTAACCTATGTATGAATCACTTTCGATGTATGCACTCATTTTATGTTTTGCAAGATCATTTAATTCTTATCTGGCTTATTTTGGAAATATTAAATATACTCTTATTTATGCTTGCAATGTAGCCAGAGGATGAATGTTTCCTGGAAATTGGAGACAATAATGATATTAGGGAACATGCTTCAATCCACCGATCTTCAAAGTCAACTGATAGGACGGTAAGAAGTTGACTTCAGTATTTTTTTTTTTTTCAGAAAAAAAAATGAAATTTCCACAGACACATAACATGTATACCTTTTCATACTTTTACCATCTTCACATGATCAGGTTATTGGGGATAGCAATTTGATAATGGGATCTTGTCATATTGCCCATGATTGCAAGATCGGTAACAACAATATTTTTGCTAATAATACTCTTCTAGCTGGGCATGTTGAGGTGGAAGTAAGTTGTCTTCAAAACTACAGTACCCCTTTTAGGATAAACTTTCTTTCATTAATTTCTTATGTTTTAAACATGGGATTTCATATTAATTAAAACTATTCATTTGTAGGACTCTGTTCACACTGCAGGTGCAACTGTCGTTCACCAATTCTGCCATCTTGGCTCTTTCTCTTTTCTTGGTGGTGGTTCTGTGGTAGGTTTTTCTTTTAATGTCATGGTTTTGAATCAATCTGTTTTATAACGAGGTAAAAGATTTTTGTGCAATCATGTAAAAGTGGGATCTAGTTATCTAGTGCACAAAATGCTGTGACTTGTAAGGAATATGTGAGAAATCTATTAGTGTAAGCAATAGTACTTTTGTAAGGATTTGTTCTTGTCTTTGGCATTCAATAATCAATGCAGCTTTACTTTTCACTGAGATAATTGCAACAGGAGTTTATTTAAAATGGAATCTGGCATATAGGGTTTGCCCATCTTTCAAATGTATTGCTGACATAAAATTGCTCTTATTGAAGGACTTGTTAAAGCAAATACTTTTACCATGCCAAACGATTTATAATTACTCAGGTGTGCAACTACAATGTCATATTATCATGTTCTTACATAAATGAAGGTCTCGCAAGATGTTCCAAAGTACATGATGGTGGCTGGAGAAAGAGCTCAGCTTCGTGGTCTAAATTTAGTGGGCCTTACTCGAGATGGATTCAGCAATGCAGAGGTTTATACTACAAAATGTTCAAATTTAGTTTGTCTTCAATTATATTCAGAGAAACTAAACAATTTCTCTTGGGTAACAACAATCCAGCTCAGGAGCCTTAGAGCAGCTTATCGAAAGATATTCATGTCTGTTGATGCAAATGCTGGGTCGTTTCAAGAAAGGCTTGCAGAAGTGGTATGTTCTAGTGTTTGTCTGTTGCTTAGTGATGTATATGAGGGTAAAATCCTAAGGTAAACTTATTCTGCAGGAGCAGCATGAAGAATTGATTCATGTTCCTGCTGTACGTGCTATGTTGCAGTCTATTCGCGACTCTTTTGCAGAAGATCGTCGTGGAATCTGCAAGTATAGACACTGGAATGGCTCTTGAAGCATGATGAGGTCAGTTTATGTATTTTTTTGTGCCTGTCATGTCCATTTTGTTGCTATGAACCAAGATACGTAGGAGTGGGACTCTTCTTTTCAGTATCAACTTGTAATTAAGAAACTAAATGGCATTTTTTTCAGATATCTCATGCAGTCTCTGCTCAAGTGAAAGCTCATGTTCATGTTTCATTACTGTATATCATGATTGCTTGCCAGAAGCCCAACGGAAGTTAATTTGCCGTGAAATGGTTCTCTTCATTTGTTATAATTTTATGAAAGAGTTTGTTGTATTATTAAGCGCTTGTAGGTAGAGAGAATTCATTATGGGTTTCAAATTTTGTTTCGGTACTGAATTGTATTATTTTCTCATCAATATATTCCCTCCATACATTCTCCGCATGGTAGATTACTTCGGCGTAAATTGTTATTTTCTTTCCATTAAGTCAATTTTAGCCTCAAATGTATAACGGCCCACACATTATAAAGAAGCTGCACAGTGCAGCTAATCTCTTGTATAAACATAGGAACGGTCAGATGTTTCTTTCATTGAATTCTAAACAGAAGAAATACAAAATCAAATGTTTGCAACTGATTATACCCTAAAGCCGGATGCAGTATTGAAAATGTATTTCTATACAACTCAACCATCATAATCATATTATATATCTCTATTTTATCGAGGCGGTGGTACATGATTCATAAGTGGAAACTGATTGATGAAATCTCGCATGACGCCCTGTTTGTAGCATTTGCAAAGTACATCAATCCCACATCAAGTGTATGCAGTAACAGGTACACCAACAGCAACCAAAAGGTATCCTGTGATAATGCATACTGCTATCAGATGAGTAGGCTTGAAAACCTAAAATGGGCAAAAACAACTGAACCACGTATCTTCAAAATAGAAATATAATGAAACACATGAAACCTTCAAATGTAATATAGCAGGAAGGAACCCGTCATAAATGTACTCTGCGTTTTTTATATAATACTGAGGCAATTAGCAATTGTACCACGAAGTGACAAGTGACAACAAATATCTTAAATGAAAAACAAAGGGCAACATTTTAGGATGCTGGGAAGGAAATCAGGGCATGAAGATTGCACTGAATCTACATCTGCCCTTTTGTGCTTGAGCTGTTGTGCAATAATCTTTATACAGTTTACACGCCCAAATTGAAATCCAATTGAAATTTGCAATGACAAATGAGATTATGAGGTATTATACCTAGCGCAACTTCTTTACGCGTTTAGAGGGTCGCGCTGTCTCCTTTTTTGATTCCTCTGGAGTTTTTAAGTCAATAAATGGCTGAAACAATTGAGACAGAGATAAAGTATAATCAATTAAACTGGAATACCAATATAAAAAATTCTCACTTCATATTTATATATTAGTGCTTCAAAGACAAGCCTATCATTGAATAATGAGAATGACATAAAGCCATATCTCTATGAAGTTATCCAAATAAGACTTGAAAGGTAAAAAAAATTAACATTTTGAACATTCTTTAGTAATGACAATCCATAAGGAATTCATGCAAAAAATTTGTACAAAAAATAGCTGATATCCAGCACACCCATCCATGCATTACTTTTAGAAGGATAAAGCGAAGACTGAACTTGTCATTGATGAACTCGAAAGTAATTGCCATATCTTTTTCTTTTCTTTTTTAAAGGGAGTCAGGGAGGACCATCAACAATCTGCTCCAATTAGCATCTCTCTTAGGTTCAATCTGTTCCAACAATTTTAATGTTTTAAGCAAAGGCATCTCTCTAAAAAATGATTCATAATTGACATAGATTTTATTCCCCTGTCGACATTTTGCATTTCCAAAATCTAGAACCTAAAAGCTCATGTTCCTCTTTTTGTCTCACAGAAATAAGGCATCACAATCGTAAGTTAAATTCCACTACATGTTGGTCCACTTTCATTACCTACCATACATTTCTCTATTTGATGAACAATGCTTAGTTAAAAATGTAAGGAAAATCGTCCAAATGGACTGGGCTTAAAATTACGAAGTATCTATCAAACTTCCACTTAAAGTCAAGTGAATTACATCTTAGAATAATGCTATATACACGCTTAAAAACATATCATCTCATATATTTTCACCATTTGATTACAACTGCTCCTGCCTCATTTTTTTTACACACTCTCAAACTGATGTGACTCTAAGGAATGTGTATCAAAGATTACCCTATTTCTTATACCACTAAAATCATAACAACTTACTAGCCTCTGAAATCAATCATATATCAAGGGAATGTGATAGTAGAAAAGAAAGATAGAGAAGATTGCATTGGCATGTGACCTCTTCCCATTTAGTTTGAAGTTCCAAAAGCTCTTGACAGTATGCAAGGCATTCAGCATGGTATACAGCAGCTAAGTCTTTGATCAACGCCTTCCTTTTGATGATTCCAACCACTTCAACAATAATTTTAAAAAAATAAATAAATTATCATTTATCAACCACAAAACTCATCATCGCAATCCATAATAAATTATCATATGAGAATAACAATACCAATTACAACACATAATCAATGCATGCCTCATGTTTCAAATTGAAGCCCTAAACTCACAAAAATTTCTATGCGCGAGATAATAGAAAAAGAAGAACAGAAATTGGAATCGATGGAAAGTGGAAGAAGCGGTAACAATGAAAGAGAAAGAGAAAGAGAGATACTTCGACTCGGATCAAACGGTAACGGAGGATCGGAAGGTTCCGGAATCTTCTGTTCTTCGGCCATCCCAGCGGCTTCTACAGCTAACAACATGGCATCACAGCTACGTGGATATTTTTTTGTAGTTGGGCTGTTTTTGGGCTTTCAAATGGGCCTTTTACAAACATGGACTTTGAGAAGTGAAGTAACTTTGGGTTTCCCAGTCCCTATGTTTTATTTTCTTATGTGTAAACATTGGTTTTTGATACAATGGTCTCAGTGAGATTTGAATAGAGATGTTAACGGTCCGAGTCGAGCTTTGATCTTAAAAGGTTAAGTATGTGTTTAAATGTGCCAGCCTGATCAAGTCTATTACCTGTTATAAATATAACTATCGGCAAATAAAAGCTTTATTTAGCCTATTTAAAAAAAATAAGACAACACAAATTTATCCAAACAAAATATACAATCAACAACACTAATAATTTCATAAATATTCATAAATTCAATTTATATCCAAACAACATAATATAGAACAAAATCTATTTAACCAATAAAATGAGGTGAAATGGATTGAAGAGAAAGAGAGAGCTATTAGAAGTAGTATAAAAATTAAAATATAAATAAAAAATAATATACTCGGCCAGCCTGAGAGGCTTTAAGGCCGAGCTTTTGAATTGGAGCCTTGAGACCTTTTTATTAAACGAGCTTTTATACAAGTCCAAACCTAGTGCTAACAACCAATTTTAGACATGTAAGCTCAGGATTTAACGAGCTGAGCCAAAGACCCCCTAAAAGGCCCTCTGGTTTGTTTAGCACCCCTAGATTTGAACCTATGACTTTATGCAAATTGGCTTGTAAAGTTATTTGATTTTAATTTTGGGATAAGATATTATTACTACCAAATAATATTACTATCATATCTTAACCGTTGATTTCCGTCAATCAACGATTATTATTTTCACAAATCAAACTCATTAATTAATTATTAATTCATAATAAATGATAACTGTTGATTGACGGAAATCAAAAATTAAGATATTATAGTAACATTATTTGGTAATAAGAATATCCTATCCCTTTAATTTTTGTTGTTGTTGGGGAAAGTCTAAATTTAATTTTGATGATTTGATATGCAAAAAAACTTGTGATGGGTATTTCTATAGTAAATATTTTAACATTAAAAATAAAGAAAAAACTCAATAACTCTAGCACACTCTTTAACAGCAAATTTGCTGGGGAATTGTCCGTACAACATATCATAAGGTCGATCAAGTGGGAGTCCAGAAGTAATGACATTATTTTTATATGAAAAATCTAAATAATAAATGAAACACAGGAACCAATTAATAGCAGCAGGCTTAAGTAGATATGACATCTTGATTTTACCACGCTTTACATAAGATTTTATCTGTTGGCGGAATAAAACACTCCTTTTTAATTTCACTAGAAAGAAAAATTCTCTATCCACAATTTTAAATATAAGTTGTGGGAAGTGGATACATCATTTGCACGAAAATTCCTTGTGTGATGAGTTATCAATATCATACACCCAAATTTCCCGTGTGTCCTTTAATCTCTGTCATGAGCAGTTGTTGTGCATATAAAGTATTCATTGGTATCAATAATTGATAAATGTACACTTAAACTGTGGTCGGATGTGATTGAGGGTGAATAAATTGGATGATAGTGGCTCACTGACGATAAATGATAGCATGAGATTCATCTCTCATATTATACTTACATAAAAAAATGTACATTTTTTTTTTTAAATTGGTAGGCTTTATTTTATTTATTTCATAATATAAGATAACTTCTCTTCTATTACAAGAGAGAAATAAAGTTCATATATATAAAAAAATAAAATATTTCTTAAATCATTTGAGATATATTTGTCTCATGTTATTCTAATACGTCTTTTTATTTATTTATTTCTTTATATTAATTGATTCATTTTTGAATGATTATAATTTCATTTCTCTTTCTTTTCTTTTATTGTCATTAATTTATTTTTATACAATTATGATTTAGTGGCTGAAAATAAAATTATTTCAAATGACTTGAGAAACGGTAATCCTTATATAAAGTATTGAAATGATGGGAAGAAATTAAAGAAATTAGATAGAGTAATGACATGCAGAGGAATGGACTGTCGAATACAACTCCAAGTTTCCTCATCTGAATAATGATTATTGCCTAATTTCTGTTGCTTTTGACTTGAGGAAAGCGATAACTCGAGACAACACCTCTTAGCAAAATTAGAAGGCCACTGCGTTAATGAGGAATCAAGCATTAAAAAATTGCGTGATTATTCCCATTTAACAAACACAAATTAAGTATCGTTATCATGATACTTCGCCTCCACCAAGTGGTGCCTTTGGATTGAGAAAAGCTTTAAGGCTACCAGTAATTAACCTTAATATAATAAATATATAATGCAGCTAGGTGTGCAAATTTAGTGGCGTGGAATTATTTCTGGAGAAACAAAGTGCTTGTACATTGGACATTCAGTAAAAAAAATTCATTCAGCTACATGATTTTAGTGATGTAATCTATCTTTTCAGCTAAAGTGGGCACACTGCCCCCTATAATATAATATGATTGATCATGATAAAAAAGCATATGCAAGATTAATTATTAATGATATATCATTGTTGTATCCAAAAAAAAAAATAAAAAAAAAATGATATGTCATTGTTTTACATCCTTGATTGATTGCGACCTGTGAACCAACCTAACCCGTTATTTACCTTTTTATTCCAACATCCTATGTTTGAAAGTATTGCTTCTTTTTCCATGATACCCATGGACTAATTATCAGGGTCTGCTGTGGCTTATGACCAAGTGTATAGCCCTATTTGGTTTGGCAAAATGATAATGCAAACATAACCTAATTGGTACTGTACTTTTATTTCAATAAAATTTTAAACACTTTTGTACTAAGCAATTGTGGATTGTAAAAAGTGCTCTTAGTTATTTTATCTGTTTGCATAGATAAAATGCTGTACAAACTTTGTAACCAAAAAAAAAAAAAAAATTGCCGTACAAACTCTTACGCAAAAGTTAAATTAGTTGCTAAAGTTATTTCTTTCATAATTTCACTCCTTATTTAAACAAATTTGAGCTATTGATTCTAATGTTATCCAAGTTTCTCTGTGCCTAAATATAGTCACACACATATATAGAGAGAGAAAAGAATCAACTTATTTCGGTGCAAAAAATTTACACCCAATCTTGATTGTTAATTTCACCTGTATCAATATAATTTGGTCTTCTCCTTCTCTCTCTCTCTCTATATATATATATATATATATATATATATATATATATAGGGATACGATCAACTTACACTGATGTAAGAATAATAAATTTTTTCGTGTATCTAACGGCTGAGATTTATTGAGAATTAAAAATTAATTAATGAGTGAGACCTAATAAATCTTATCCGTTAGATGCAGAAAATCAATAATTAATATTTGACGTAAGACTTATTATTTTTATGCCGGTGTAAAATGATCATGCCCCGTATATATATATATATATATATATATATATATATATAGAACAGATTGTAAGTCTTGTTTATAATAAATCAATCTCTGAATCAATAAGGGTACAATTAAAAAAAAAAGTCGCCTAAATTAGAAAAAATAATTATGTACAGAAAAATAAATAACCTTTCTACTTATTTGTTAAAAGTCGCCTAAATTTGAAAATAAATCAATTTGTTAAAAAGTTCAAATACTTACATTTTTAATAGTATGATAGTCCCCTCAAAGGTGGATCCTATAACTATCAATTCTCCCACAATTACATTTTACTGGCATAGGCAATAAATCCACAATAAGAGAATCTAATACCATATCTCAACCCAAAATCTTAAAACATTAGATTTATGGGTCATTTTATTTATATGTTGGAAAAAGTTCACCAATGTTCCTGTGGTTTGCTTCAGAATCATCTATGCTCCTATGATTTTTTTTATATCACATATGTCTCTGTGTTTTATAAAAAATAAAAAATCACAAGGGCATATGTGATAAAAAACATACCCTTGTGCAAACCACATGGACATATGTGATAGAAAAAATCACAGGGCATTGGTGAACTTTTCCCTTTATATGTTTTATGCTTAGCCTATTATTTTTCAACGTGAGACTTTATCACCTACACTTGAATTCCCAATTCATAATATGGTATAATATATGGTATACATTAAATAGTATGTAGTAATTAAGCAATTGGTATGCTCACCAAAAGAAAATAAAGCAATTGGTATGATTTTGGAGGCCCGAGTGGGGACGAGGGTTCCTTTCTTAATAAATTAAATACATCCGTCAAGGGGTGTTTGGTAGAGAAATATTCTTTTTTATTCGAAAATCTCAATTTTCAAAAATATAATTTTTACATTCAGTTTATGATAATATCTGAAAATTAAAAATTTAAAAAATTTAGTTTTTCGAAAATTTCCAAAAATTCCGCATCTCGAACGGGCGCTTAGAGAATTAATATCTTAACGATCTCTTTAGGGAATTTGTAGCAATTTGAATGACTTAGACCATCAATTTTCTCTGAAATATGTTGATTATTAAGATACGGAATCTTAAAAGCTTGAAGAGATCAGAACAATATAACTATCACGACCAGAAGAGGAAAGTTCTTTGATAACACTAATTATTATATTTTGATATATTGAGATAATACTCCTCAAAGACATTGAAAGGACTAATGACTAAGTTAATAAAAGTGGGAGAGCAAAACAAAGAAATAGGACGAGATAAACAAACATCATAATATATAATATCGCGTCAATAGCAGTACCCTCTCTTACAAGAAGATTCCTTCCCATGATAATGCCAAATGAGTCTCATCACAGTTAGATGACCGAAACAATCCTCAACTTGGTTTCCAATTCAAATTGTTTTATTAAATTCACGATTTGGACTTATTATATATATAATAACACGTTGGCTCAGATATAATAATATAACTTTAAAATCACTAGCTAGGTGGATTGGATATCTATCCAAAATCTCTACATTTTTTTATATATCTATCCAAAATTATATTACCCTATTGAACAGGAATATCCTTGTTCCTCCTTTAGTACTAATGAATCTCAGATTTTAATTATAGCAAACGTACCTTTGCAAAGCCATCCTGCATGGTGCTTTTAAAAGCATGATGTGATATGTCCAATGGTTGCTAACCTAACTTAATTCTCTTCTCCCCCCTTTACCTTCTCTTTAGGGAATTAATTAGAGTGATCATAATTAATTACCCAATATGGAGAATGGAATGATCTAATTATTAGCTGTCTTTAGCAAATCCAGTTACTAAACCATAGAGAGGACTAATTAAGTTAATTAATTGCATGCTGATAAAATGAAAGCGGTAATTAATTAATTAATATTAACCTTTAATTTCTATATTGTCTTGTAAAATAGTAGGTCGGTAGTTTGAATAAAGAGAGAACCCAGAGAAGGGTTTTCTAGCCTTCCAGAAAGCAAGATAACATATCATTCTGACTTTGAAAAGCATCTTGAAGGAATATCTATTGACTCATCCCAAAATGAATAGTTTCCATTGATTTGGTTCGAATAGCATTTGAAACATTCAAATCTATGTTGTGTGAAAGCATGGAATTTAATTCTCACGTCCTCTTCACTCTCTTTTTTTTAATAATAAATATAGACATATATAGATCTAAGTTTAGTAAAATTTCCATCGCAACTGGCAAGTAATGATGGTTGATGGACACAACTTTCAAAACACTTCTTTTCTATGATATTTCTTTTGGGTTTTATTAATCTCATGTTAAAGGAGATAGTTATCTCATGTCACAGAGATAAATTTGTGGGCTCCACCACCTGAAAAAATAAAAGAAAAGAAAAGAAAAAGGTGGCACAGTTATCGAAGGGTGTGTAGGAGATAAAATGTATCTTATGTAACATAAGAAAAGTTTTTCCCATTTCTTTTTCCCTTAAGTCATAGATAGATGATAGACCTACCTCCCAAAGTTTGAAATTCAATGGAGAGAAATTCTGACCTAGTTTGATTTTACACCTTAACTTCCATCATGTGTTGACAAGAAGTACTATCACGTATATGTAACTAAATAATACAAATACGTACATTTATGCATATAATGTAAATATGTTTGTATTCGGAAATGGAGTAAATGATCTTGAAATAACTTCTATAATATGTCAATGCTGAATAGAATTAGTCTGTTAATCGATAATTAAATTGGCGGATATATTCTTAAAAAATTAACTTGTTGAGAGAAATTTATCCATTTAACGTGATTTCCAGTCTCAAAAGAATTAGTTTTAGACCGTCAGTTATATTTTTGGAAACCAAAAAAATAAATAAATAAAATCTGTTGGTTTGAACTAAAATCACAAAGAAAATACATACCTGTACACTTATATATGTATATATATGCATCATACTGAATTTAAAGGACAGATACATACATGTGTACCATGTACAGTCCCAGACAGTACACAGAAGTAGTAAAAAATAAGATAAGGTATCTATGTCCTTAATTCCTTATACGATTTGTTTTGTTTATTAAAAAAGGGTAAAAAAATTTTTTTTGGAAAAAGTATCGAACAAAAAACTATGTCCATCCAATTAATTTGTCTTGATGTGCGTCCAATTTCAGAAACCCCACAGCTTACTCATCATCATATATACCACCAAACATATCTGTTATATCTGCTCTCTTTGTCTCTCTTTTCTTTTCTCCCTCTCAGAGACACACACACAGAGTTTGGTGTTGTGGTGTTGAGGGTGTCGGCTGAGAAAATAACATTGTCAAAGTGAAAAAATGGTTAGGAAGTGCTCACATTGTGGAAACATAGGTCATAATTCGAGGACCTGCACATCTTTAAGAGGGAATTTTGTAGGTGTTCGTCTCTTCGGTGTTCAACTAGACTTATCCTCCTCTTGTGTTACCATGAAGAAAAGCTTTAGCATGGATTCCTTTCCCTCATCATCATCATCTCCATCTTCATCCTTTTCTTCTTCAAGGATAACCATTGATGAGAACTCTGACAGAACCTCTATTGGGTATCTATCAGATGGTCTCATAGTTCGAGCACAAGAGAGGAAGAAAGGTATATATGTTCATAATTAAATTTTATCCATATTTGTCTCTTCACCAAGAAGATAACAATGATATCATTATTATATCCCTCTAGCTATTATTATGTTTTCCATATATCATTAAATTTGTTCGTTATCATGGATTTGATATCTTAAATTTTTTATGGAAGTATGTAGTGGCTTTCGTTAATTTTTGCTGGGAAAATCTCTGATTCTAGTTAAAGTACTATTTTCTTTTTTCTCATGATCTATGATTTTATTTTATTTACCTTTGATCTAATATTTTTCTGCGTATTTATATATATTAGGAGTTCCATGGACAGAAGAAGAGCACCGAATATTCCTTGTTGGACTTGAGAAGCTGGGAAAAGGTGATTGGAGAGGTATCTCTAGAAACTATGTGACTACAAGAACACCAACACAAGTCGCTAGCCATGCTCAAAAGTACTTTATTCGACTGGCAACGATTAATAAGAAGAAGAGACGTTCTAGTCTCTTTGACTTGGTATATATATATATATAGATGAAGATGATGAACTATTGAACTCTCTTTATATATTTTAAAACATAAATCTAAATTTTTTCCTTTCTTTTTATAATTGGAAATTATATGGCTGCAGATTGGTAGGGGAAGCACAAGCACAGAAGCTCGTCCAATTAGCAATTACAACTGCAAATCAGGCGATTCAGTTTCTACTCATCAACATGTTATTAAATCCAAATGTGAAGTTGAGAACAATGCCACTTTGTCACTGCTAGGGAGCCTTACCTCATTTCAACAAGAAACCAAATCAAATGAGCATAAAACTACTGATAATTACTGTCAAATTCAACCAGCAGCTGCAGCACAAGATGAAGCTATTATGCCCCTCTGGCTTCATCCCCAGATGATGAAATCTTCAAATGTACCCAATTCCTCAAATATTAATGCAGTAGTGCCTGATCTGGAACTCACTCTTGCAGTCCCCAAGGCTAAGAGTACCCTAGAACAAAATAAATCACCACGGGGTTCCTTCCTTCTCGGGCCAATTAGCGTGACTTAAAACTATGAAGTTCATATATGCACCCTTTTATTTGTTGTCAAGTATCAACACGTGCAGAAGATCATCTATCTGATCAAAGAAACACATTTTTCTTGGTGTTAATGGTAGTCATTAATTAGGCACTAATCTATGCAATAATCAGATCCCTTGATCACGATGATATATATATATATATATACTAATTAGTCTTTTTGTGTCTGTGGAAAGTTGATCAGTTCGTTCAAGTCGGAATTATTTACCACCTATGGAATTTTACTTTTTTTGTTTGCAATTAATTAGCAAGTACATCCATACCTTTCTACCTACCGAATGTAATGTTTTTAATATATACTTAGCCTCGTAAAGTTCAAGACATATATATAATAAACAAAGATTACAACTTGAACTCTTGGTTCCTTGTAGTGCTTTGCTATGTCAATAACTCAATATATCAGAGACAACTGATGGCAAAAACCTATGTGATTGGGTAAAGTTTCTTTTACTTCTTGACTTTTGTCACCATAAAGCTTTTTTTTATTCATTTATTTTACTGTTTTAAAGCACAGCTGGATTCTGTTGAGAAGATTTTGGATTCCACTACCACTAGGGTTGGAAGGGTGGCCGTTTAGCCTTTTATATATATATATATATATATATATATATATATATATATATATATGGGTTTAGTGAGTGTACAGTGACTGAATATAAAATTTGGTCCAATGCACTAAGTTCTCCCGTGAGAACAGAGTTATAGTAAATATTATAACTATGTTCTCTCGGGAGAACACCATTATAATATTTAGTGCACTGAGTTCTCGCGGGAGAATTTAGTGCACTGGACGGTCCAGTCACTTTATTTTATTTTTCCTATATATATATATGGAAAAAATGTTTCCGCAGTTAATACTGAGAAGTTATCTGCATTTATTCCCAAAACGATGTCGTTTTGGTATTGAAATCTTAAAAAATTATAAATATACAGACTATTATAACCCTAAAATAAATTAAACTTAAAAAAACACCATGATTTCCGTCTCAAAACGACGTCGTATTGGCTTACTGCAGATAACTTATCTGCAGTAACTGCAGAAAAAGCGAACCCTATATATATATATATATATATATATATATATATATATATATGGGTAAATGGTAAAATTATTTTTCTTTCTCCGCCACGTCAGCCAACAATATTTAAAAAGAAAAAAAATAACTTTAATATTATAACTATGTACTATCCTAAGTACATAGTTATAATAAATTGCTGCAAATAACTTTTTCTAGTAGCAACATAAGACAATGATTATATATATATATATATATATATATATATATATATATATATATATATAATCTTTTGACACCTCATCTCAGAGCCATTAGATCAAAAAAGATCAACGACTCTGATTTGTATACATGTCACCCCATTGATCTTTTTTGATCTAATGACTCTCCGATGAGGTGTCAAATTTCAAATTTGACACTGGTGTCAAATGATCCTACCTCATATATATATATATATATATATATATATATATATTGTTAGAGAGATATAATATAAATTCATTAAAGACTCTCACTTAATCTTGAGTTTTTAAGTGAAATAGTTATTTATCATGGTATCAAAGCCAATGTGACTATTGTGCCAAAAAAAAAAAAAAAAAGCCAAGGTGACTATGGAGTCATGAGTTTAATCTTCATGTTTTTCATTTTCTAATGGAATTAAGTAAGCACAAGGTAAAATAAAAAATAAGTTTATGCAATATATATATATATATATATATATATATATATAGGGTTATATTTATCTCATTCAACATGAGATAAATTAAATTTCTACACACACATAACAAAGGTGGGTTCCACCTCTATTTTTTTTTCTCTCCAATTATTTGTGGGTCCCTCTTATAATTTTGTTTCACTAACATAAGATAATTCATCTCCAACAGCATAAGAAAAACATTTTTCATATCTCCAACAACATAAGAAAAACAATTATCATATATATATATATATATATATATATATATATATATATATATTTACAATCTATTTTCGTTTACAACTTCTTACAAGTATATCTTAACCGTTGATTTTCGTCAATAAACGGTTAAGATTTTCGTAAATCAAAGTTATTAATTAATTATTAATTTGTAATTAATGATAATGGTTGATTGACGGAAATCAATGGTTAAGATATGTTTGTAAGAAGTTGTAAACAAAAATATGTTGTAAGTATAATATTCCCCATATATATATATATATATATATATATATATATATATATATATATATATATATATATATATATATATTCTACCTCTGCTATATACTGTTACTCGTGTTAATTTTAAAGAATCCTTTTTTTCTTTATTGTTTTGTCCCCACGAGTTTTCTTCATTAAGCAATGTGAAACAAGAGTTGGACACAGACTGAAATTCATAATAAGATGAACAGTATTGAGTTGGACGTTGCTCCATTCTTAAGTTTAATGATAATCTATAGAGTAATAGTTTAATTATTATTTTTAACTCAACTGATTGCATTGAGTATTCTGATCATGCCTTGACTTAAAAAACAAAAAGTGTTTTTAATGTTTTGAACTTTGGGCACGTACTTACCCAGAAATTTCAACAAATTTGGTTAGGCAGTTTTGGATCGTTATTTTTTTTTTCTCATTTTTTTTTCTATTATTGAAGTCATTGTGAGCATAATCTAAACAATCTTTTCGAAAACGGAGACCAGAATGGCGATGGCTCATGCATATTCTATTATGATCCGCATTAATTAGGTCCATGCATTGCCTCCTTTCACTTTAGTAAAATATTTTCGATATTACGATACATCCTTTATCAAATATGAAAAATATATATATATATATATATATATATATATATATATATATATATATATATTTATTATCAATATTTATTTCTTTTTATATCTTTCTTTTTTTCATTTTTGATAAAAAAATATCTACTCCCCTTGCACCAAAAATATATTCTCACTTCATGTTCAAAATGACGGGGAAGATGTGCGGAAAAATACTCAAACCTTTCAGGTTGTGTTTGGTACAAGAGAAATTTTTTGGTGACCGGGAATCATGATTAATGGGAATTCAGTAGAAATTGAGTTTACCTGGAATTTTACGAAAGAGGTGTTTGGTTCGCCAAAATATTACCGGGAATATTGGGTAAAAATTACTGATTCAATATTTGGTTTAGAACGAAATATGACTTGGAATATGAGGTTATTTTACAAAAATAACCCCAAACTATTTTTACTTTTGTAATTGATAGATTGGGTCTAGATTTTTATGTGTATTGGGATATTTTTGTCTTAAAATTTATTATTGTACTTTCCCTTTACTTGGTATTCTGATTGGTATTCCGAATTACCATATTATTTTTGGTAATCTGAATAGTGACTTTTCTTTATAAATCAAATTACCGGTAATCCTTGGATATCCGGGAATCGTAATTTATTCCTTCTACCAAACGTGGTAATTACATTTACCAAAGAAGGATTACCGATAATCCTCTTCAAAAACCTGAAACAAACACCCCTCAGAAGAAAGCACACGTCCCCACATGGTAAACAGACATATTTGTCGTGGCCTTAGAAAGTTAGAATCCACTGCTCTTGAATAGTTTGAAATCCTAAATAGGCCCATTTTCTGGATCCGCACCTTCGAATAATAGAATTTTAGCAATTTCTGCCGCTCCTTTAAGTTTGATTAATTTCCCAAGTCTTAAATTGTAATTTACATATCTATATTTGGACATAAATCGACGATGAGTGTAAAATTTCTTTATTCTTATACGTAAATTGGTCTGTCTTATAGTTGGCATCTCACATAATCAGTCATATAATTAAGAGGTGGGTCATTGATTTTAATTAAGAAAAATGAGAGAAAAGAAAAATAAAAAGAAAAATTAATTATGTTGATTAAGGTAAAAAATAAAAAATAAAATAATTATAATAGCTGGTTCAGCTTGGATATGTATGTCATGGTGAACTTCCATTTTTAATGCTGAGAGAATCGATGCTCTAGCTTGCACCAACAAACATTATTAAACGGAGTTGATGTTGTTGTTGTTTTTTTTTTGGATTACATCCGGGTATTCCTACAGTCGATAGCCATGAGACTAATCCATTGCCTCGGGTCAGCGCACAAAACGGTAAAGAGTTGATGTTGTTTTTCAATGTTTCAACTTTCAAGTAAAAAATAAATAAAAAAATCGAACGTTCAATCCTAATTAACAAGACAAAGTGTGGCATAAAGAAAACTTGTAAAGCACGTGGCTTTAAGTCAATTTAGTCAATTTTTATGTTAGCTATTTTTTAATACTGTATGCAACTAGTGCCTTCTAATTTGTTTTTCTTTTTAAACTGATCCTTTTGTAATTGACTTGAAAGATTTGTGTATCATATGATTGTCATATTATATATATATATATATATATATATATATATATATATATATATATATGAGTCAGGATTATTTTACACCAGTATAAGTTACACTTTCAATCTAGTCTGTTGTAAGTTACACTTTCAATCTTGTCTGTTGATTCCACTTATTTATATATATATATATATATAGATAGATAGATAGATAGATAATGTAACAGTGCGCCAACTTTTCATTTTGATATTTTCAACCAGATGCTTTCCTAATTTTGAAGCTTAGGAAAGTCCAAAAACCTGGGTAAAATGTTAGTATCATATATTTTTTTTCTTAATTATTCCATTTCTACTTTACTCATATGGCAGCAAGACTATTAAACTGCAAACACCTAGGCCCCCACTTCCCCTTTAATAATATATTCTGTCATGGAGATTCCTGTAATTCAACGAAGTTATTAGTAAAAAAATGAAGGTGTTTTGACTATAAATATGAAAGTAAGGATAGGATGAAAATGAAGCTTGTCCTCAAGATTCTGAAGAGATGCCAATCAAACCCTTAGCTAGGGACCTTCTATCAGGAAAGTGCCTAGCACTTGCCTCCTGTATTA